CGTAGTCTGGCTCTTTCTTCCCCAGTGTCTGTGGGCCAGATGTTGCAAGGGCTGCTCCGTCCTGTAAAGCTGTCTCTGGCCTTATAATGAAGGAAATGTGCAGGTTGAGAGTGCCTGTCATCTCTTCGTTGTTAGCCAGTGGAACGTCCATTTGAGCCTCTTAATATTCTGGAGAGATTATCAGCACAAACGAGGCAAACACTAAATGGCAAAATGGATCACCTTCCCACAGCAGCTGCTACCACACCGACGACAGTTCAGCCACATGAAAGGACACTCCGCTATTATTCCCTCTCACTCTGTAAACTGAATATATTCAAAGTCAGCAGATCTGTAAGATATTCGAGACATAGCATCAGCAGCGAAGAGTTAAGATCTAAATGCAACAATTCAAAAGCCAGGAGAGAGACCGAGAAGCACATGATAGCTTTATTATTCTAAATTGCCCATTTTAGCACAGATTCTAAAATTGGAGTAGAGCACATTCTGCCTCTGTCTGTATCAAAAGTGTTCTCACTGCCCTCCAGCCCTCCAGATCTGCAGATTGGAGAGACAAATGAGCTAATGGGTCATTCTGCGCATGTGCCCAGGTGATCCTTTATGTGTCCTTTCTTTCAGGAAAATGCCCTCAACTGTCAGCACTAAGCCAGAGCAGTTTGTAGGTTGGTCCTTCTCAGCAAAAGTGCTCACTCTTAATCCACGCCTGGTCAGCCATTCTTTGTCATTGTCAATGGCAATGACAAGCCAGGAGACATCCCATGACTCTTAGTGATTGTTTTGCCTTTTTTTTTTTATCTTTTTTAGACAGTAGGGTGAACATAGTCAAATTTGGCTGTAGGTTAATCTCTTGTGCCTGTTAAAAACTCTTATCAAATTATTTTGTAGTTAAAAGCTCTGTTGCCAAGAACCTGGAAACACTCAATGCCGCATCTTCAGTCCTAATTTGCTTCTTAAAACCCCAAATTTGGGGAGGAAGCCTGCTTCCTCAGATGACAATCTTTCACCAGTTGTTGGAATTCCCAGACATTTAAGAATTACTCTTCCTGTAAGTGCACCTTCTAGGGGGTGTGAAGCCAAAGGGAGTATTGTGCCTCTCCTAGTGATATCTCAGTCAGAAGCTACCATTTCCAGTCACCTCCAGTCTTCTGCAAAAATGCCAAGCTCCTCTCCCGAATACATGGGAGGCCTGGAGAAGGGGCATGGTTTGTGGGATGTGGGTCAGAGTGAGTTTTTACTTTTCATTCTTTCTTTCACCCTAGCATGCTGGATTTGGTTATAAGGTTGACATATAGACAGTGCCCCAACTCATAGCCCAGAAGAGAGGGAGGGAAGAACAGAGAAGAAGCAGTCCTGTGCTGTGTTAATACTATTGCTCTGGTTTGGATGTATTTTGTCCTCCGAGGGCTGTAGACTGAACTGTGGGGGACCTAAGATGTGAGAGGTGGTATGGTCATTGGGAATACTGTCCTCAGAAGGGATTAGGTCTCCTGAGGTTGTTATGAAAATCAAAGATGTCTCCCTCCCACTTTCCTGCTTCCTATCTCTCTATCCGGTTCCCTAAATCTAAAGGAAGATGTCTCTTTATCACACACTGTCCCATAGTGAAGCCAGGACTTGACGGTTGGAGGGGGTCCTGTGCACTTTCCAAACTGTGAATTATGTAATACTCTTCTTTATAAGGTATACAGCCTCTGGCCTTATGTTAGAGCTATGGGAAGGGAACAGATATGATGACTACCTATTATTGGGATCAAGTTGACCTTCGCCTAGAGAATTCAGCAGGAAGCACTCTGGCTTGCTCTAGCACTGGTGACCCAGTCTGGTGTTTTAGACTTGATGTAGTAGACTGCATCTTCCCTCTGCATGGTATTTAGCTTTATGCCAATCTGTCAGCAGAGATCACTCCTAGAACAATCACATCTCCTCATAGCCTCACCAGGAGCCCGCACTTTCTTACAACAACACATTTCATTTGCTTGGTGGCCTATGGGTAACCTCACAGCTCTTAGCGTCCTCTAGGATCCACACTCCTCCATGTGGACCCATGGAAATAATAAGATATGCCTTCCTTCTCTTCAAAGAACACACAGAAGTTGGTTGGGGCAGAGGTGTATTTTACTTACCCATAGGTTACTACTGCTGTTCAAAACTCCCTTGAGCAGAGAACTGCACTGGACCTTCCTTCTAGAGAACACACTAGACCAAAGGGACATGATGGCCTCTATGTGCTTAATATCTCTAACTCTAGAGAATTCAAGCCAGTTTTCTAGACAGCTCTCTCACCACATTTTAGTCTGGCTTTTTAAACCTCTAACAAAGACATAATACACATGCCTTGTTGTAGGCACATCCGATCTCTATATACAATTTTCTTGGAGAAAAGGGGGAAATTAAGTTCAAAATATATTATATGCATGCATAAAAACATAACAAAACCCATTATTTTGTACAACTGAATAAATTAGTGAACATGTGGATAAGGAAGGCAGAGTTTACTAAGGCCTTTCTACATACATTCTACCTGATTAGGAAGTCTTCAGAAAATGAACTTGAATATTGTCTCATTTTTCTGGAACATGCTTCATGTTGCAAACTTGTTAGAATATGGACCAAAATGAAGGTTAGATAATTATTTTCTTTTTAGCAGAGCTTTCAGAAAGATGAGTTCCCAGAAAGTTTACAGGAAGATGAAAGAGAACCACTGCTCTGTGTACCCTATGAGATGTCCCTTGGTTGTCATGTGAGCTCTGTGACTTTGCCGCCCATTGTCTGGGAGCCACAGCACCTCTCAGCCTTACAAAGGAAAGCTCCTCAGACATCATGTGTTACAATACAGGAAGCTAGCACCTCCTGAACCAAAGAGAAACTTCATCTGTCTTGACTTGTCAGGGCTTTGTGTGTTAGGATTGATGGAGAATTCCTCAGGGGCAACCTAATGAATATGCATGCATAATGGAGACACTTCATTAATGGCTTGTGTAGGGGTGAATTGTTTTACTAATTTAGTTTGCTCAATGACACAGGTCTAGTGAGGAAAGGAAACCACAGAATTTTTCCCTGAAGAGATGCCCTAACAAACTCCGGTCATTGTGGCATTTTGCACTTGTGCTAACTACCAAAAATAATATAGCTATTTGGAAGGCTGAGGCAGGTAGAGCAGCTTGTGCAACAAACACAGTGATACTCTGTCTTAAAGTAAAATATGTTGAAAAAAGTTCCTTGGTACTTACCCAGTAGGAGTCAATAATGCTGCTGACATAGAACCACGTCAGTATTCTTACAGTTGCGGGCTTCTTATTCTTGAACACAAAAGGTACTGAAGGGCCAGGGAGATGGTTTCCCTGGTAAAGAAGCTTTCCAGTAAGCCTCAGAATAAAATGGGTCAGAGAGTAGGGCTGAGGTGAAGACCTGGAGTGGGCTGGATTTAAGGAACTCTGAGTAAAAACCGAGCAGTCTACTGAGAGTAAGCACTCAATATTAGAATTGTGACTGGCTTGATCTTATATAGGTTTTGTGCAGGCCACCGCAGCTGCTGTGAGTTCACAAGTTCAGCAGCACAAGTTAGATTTGGTTGGTTATTAAAAAGAAAAGAAAACAAAAGAAAGAGGAGACAAACGTGGGAAGACTGGAGAGTTGAATGGTAGATCTGGGAGCAATTAGGTGGAGGAATAGGAGTGAATGTGATTAAAATATATTGTATAGCATTCTCAAGGAATTAGTAAAAACATCATGTTATAAACAAAGAATATAGGATGTGGAGCATGTTGGTTATGAGATTTTGAGCCCTTACACAGTTGACTGCAGAATCCAAGACAAGTCGTTTGGCTCTCTGAATGTCAACTTCTGTCTATGAAAGAAGGGTGCTGTACTTACTGATTTTCTGTCACTACAATAAATACCTGAAACAATCAGCTCATAAAGGGAAAAGATTTGTTTTGATCCATGGTTTCAAAGGTCCCAGCCTATGCTTTATTGGTCCTATGGGGTTTTGCTATGTGATGAGACCTATGTTATAACAAAAGCATTGAACATAGCAAAAACATTCATTTCATGGTCAGGTTGCAAAAGAACCAAAGAGGAAGAGGCCAGGATCTCAGGCCCTGTCCCCATTGACTAGGAGACCTCTCAGTAGGCTGTTGTTCTTAAAAATTCAGCCACCTCCCAAAACACCAAACCAAGCAAACAACTTTCAGGAAATGGCCCTGTGGGAGATACTCCAGATACAATCTCTTTGCAGATACTAATGTCTGTTTTCAACTGAAGGTAGATTTCAACCCCTGCTGCATCCTTGGGAGTTTAAATAAGATCTAGGATGTCCAGGGGTCAGGAGAGGGCCCAGAATTCCAGGAATGTTAGATGCCTGTTCTTATTTATTGCTTTCTCTAACCCCTGTCCCTGGTTGCTTGCACTCTTCAATGTTTGCTTCCTTGCTATCTTTGAATGTTTTCCTCCCAGCTTCACAGTTTATATAGCTCTTTTTATGCCTCCCTCAAGCTCATTATTTTACTTGTATGAGACCATCTGATTTTCCCAACTTAGAGTTTGTTCATGTGGAGTTACACTTTGACTACCTAAGTTTGTTAGATACACTATGAAGACAGAATTCATGCCATAGTCTTGTTTTATGATCTTTCAAGATTAATTTAATATCTATTAATATTTATTATCTTAACTCATTGAAAACTTAGAAGTTATAGTGTTGGTATTTACAGAAGGAGGCCACAATAATCCATATTTTTTCTTTAAAAATTTGTGATTATGATGATGGTGTGTGTGTGTGTGTGTGTGTGTGTGTGTGTGTGTGGTGTGTGGGGGGCATGTGTGTTATGGTGCATGAGGGGAGATGAGAGGAGAACCCCAAGGAATCAATTTTCTCTGTCCTTACATGAGCTCCAGGCATTGAACTCAGGTCATCAGACTCGTGTGGCAAGTACTGTCCATGCTCAGCCACCTCACTAATGGAAAGCATAAAGTTCTATAAAGTTCTGAATAATAAAGAATCAAGTAGCAAACATTTGTATTCGAGTGATGATTGCTTATTTACAAATGCAAGAAAATGGGTGGTGTGCTGAGTTGATAATTGCAGGATCCACATGAACTCATCTTGTAGAGAAATGGTGTGTGAGAGTCAGCTTTCCAGCCTGTGAGTCAGGCATCTAGAAGACCAGGCAGGGAAAAGAAGCTAAAATGTAATCAAGGCAGTTCTCCATGCCCTGCTTAGTCAGCTGTTGAGACCGACAGTGAAATGGATACTTTTAAATAAAATTCATGCATCCATTATAACATAAAAGGAATATTTAATTAAAACAGGCTTTTAAAGCAATATACTGCGCATTAACAAGTGCAATGTATAGATATAATTGAGACAAAACAGATAAGATCCTGTTAGTCATTTCTCGTTCTCTTCTGCTCTCCTATAGTGCTCTGTGGCTCACAGGGCTTTTTACATGGAGACAGCTCTTATGAATCAAGGAAACCGGAAGTGGGTCTTTTTTCAATTATTACTTAGTTATAACTATAGAACTTTATGCTTTCAATTAGGACCAATGAGATAGCTCAGATGTTAGAGCTCTCTCTCTCTCTCTCTCTCTCTCTCTCTCTCTCTCTCTCTCACACACACACACACACACACACACACACATTGTATGCCAGCCAGCACATGCAGAGGAGGTCAGCAGACAACTTTTTTTTACCTTGCAGACGCGGGGTCTGTCTTGTTTCTGCTGCTGCTCCATGACTACCCATTAGATGGCCTGTGAGCTTTCACTCTCCTGTCTGCCTCCAATCGGCACTGCCTCCCATAGGACTGCTGGGATTATAGGCTCATGTCACTCTGTCTGGGATTTACATGAGTTTGTGAAATTGAACTGAGACCTTCAGCCTTGCACCATTAGTATCTTTACCCAATGAGTCATGTCTACAGTCTGAGGTGGGCCTCTTTCTTGCTTAGTGAAGCCTTATGAACATGCTCTGGGGGAACAAGGGTATGACTCTTATGTACTGAGGCTGTGGGGGAATGTAGGGGTAGTATCAGCCTTTATAACCTTCATTTGACTAAAGCTCAAACCAGGAGGTTGAATTCGATGGCTGTTGGAGTACTTTCTTCTCTGTCGTTCAATCGCACTTGTACAGACTTGGAAGGGTGAGTCTTGCCGATCAGTTCTTGACTGGGAGTGTTATCAGAGTCCTTAAAAGGTTGCCATTCTGTGCGCCTGTGGAATGACGGGTTGACTGATTCCTGGTGTGGTAGTGCAGGTATGGTTGAGAGTAGAGTTTCACTGGAGTCATTCCTAAAGTTGTTTTTATTGACTGTAACCACCCTGGTGTGCATTTGACAAGAGGATGCCCTGATTTAGTGAAGGAGTCCAAAGCTTTGCAGAAGCTAGAGAGTTCAAGTAAGAATTCCTTGGTCTTGCCTGGGAAAGAGACAGGCTTCTGAGAACACTTGAACTACGAGGGACAAGGTACTCAGGGGCAAAAGCACAGAGACGGGAGAAACAAGAGCATGTTGTATACAAACTATATTAGCTGGGTTTTAAAACCTAAATGATAACACGCTCCAAACCCCTCTTTGCCTCCTCGTGAGTTAAATGTTACTATCTGCAGGCTTTCTGCTGTATAAAAACCTTTCTGAAGTTGCCAGAGTTCTGATTTGCATACAAGCAAGCACAGAGTCAGCCTAATAAAGACATTACAAAGATGAGTTAGATATGCAAGAGGCAGAGGATGGACTAAAAGATGGTGGAAAAATACTTTCACTGTCACCTTAGAAAAGTGAATGAACAAATATAATTTGAGTCACAGACAAGGAGGAATAGATAGAAAAATGTAATGACTAAAAATTTCAAAATTGTAGAAGCATTTCAACCCATAGATTCAGGAATTGTAGAAAATTTCAAGCAACATAAGTTATAATGACAGTCATGTCAGGGCACATTGTGATTAAAATGTTGAAAATCAAACATTACTGTGATGATTACTGTTGACTTGTCATAAGACACAGGGCAAGCCAGAAATCAATGGAAGGATATGTTTAAGTGCTACTGAGCAAGAAAGTTGACCTAGAGTTCTGTAATTGGAAACGAAGGTTAAAGTATCAAAGATGGGAACTGTCCTAGATGCCCAGCAGCAGATGAATGGACCGGAATGGGATGGTAGACACAGTGGAGTTTTCTTCACCTGTAAAGAAGAATGGAATGACATTTTCAGGGGAACGGATAGAACTGGACATCATCATGTTAAGTGCAACAAGCCAGACATGACACATTTCTCCAGACTTGAGCATGTGTACCTGTGTTTGCTGTTGTTGATCACACGTCTTTACAGGCTAATTGATGGCTGGAGGCACCAACACAACTGTGCCTTCCCAGGATGCAGTCTGTGCTGAGGTAAGATGTGTAACAACAGTAGCACAACAGGAGTCTGCTCAGCAGAGGGGCCCAGCTGAGGATTCTCTGTGGGGAGACGGTGACAGACTGTGATAAGTTATGGGAGTGATGGCAATCACTAAAGCAATCGTTAAAAATGAAAATCGAGGCATGATTTAAAAAGTGGATAGAGGGAGAAAATGGAATACTAAAGTCACCAAAATTTACTCCAAATAAATAGATAAATAAATAAACAAAGAGTGAGGAACAAAAACCAGATGGAACAAATGGAAGTGAAATAGAAAATAATCCTCTGAACCACAGATTATGGTTCCTGAGGGGATTGGCTTCCTACAGAAAAAGTCCTAACAAATACTGTTAAATCCACTCAATCACATAACCACAACTCCACACAGACACAACAGTCATATATATGATAATGTATACAGATTAAATTAGTCTGAATGGGTTACTAATAATTTTCATTTGCCATCTTGTACTCAAGAGAAAATTTTAGGATGTTTTTACCCAGCAGTTTCATCAAGAGGCTACGGGGTTCTTCCTCACAGATAAAACGCACCGGTTCCTTCCCGAATCATTGAAGTGGTTCAATTCTATGGATGGAGTTTACTTTGACTGCTTGAGATGGGAAGCTCTGGGTTTGTCACTTATTTATTATACTCTCTTAAGCATGGCTTCTATTATACTCTCTTAAGCATGGCTTCTGAATGTGGATGCCCTTGGCTCCTGTCCGGTGGGGAAAACAGTTTAAACAGCGGGGCCAGACGGGGCTGCAGATGAACTCTAAGGTCACCCAAGAATCACAGCTGAAAATCAGGTGCAAACTCCTCAATGAGTGTGGGAGAGCCATCTGAAGGGTGGCAGATGGAAGGCCCGAGAAACTGTCACGGGTCCTGCAGGCTCATGGGACCTCATCGGAAGAATCGCACGGAAGACAGCAGTGGGACTATGACACCAGGTTAGAGATTCTGGTCATCTGGATTTTGTACTAGCATTTCCTCACAGCCTTTAGGAATTATCCATTTGGGGGGGGTGCCAAGTGGAACACACTCAGTTACTATGTTTTCCACAACAGAACAAGACACTTGTCACCAGTAGCTCCAAAGAGAATGGTGGTATCCCATGGAGCAGATTGGAGAGCCCGTGCAGACACCTCCTCCAGGTCTGGGGCCTCGGCGTTAGAGTCATTGCCCGCAGAACACAGTTGGTGGGCTCAGAGTCTCCTCTGTGGAGATGGAGACTTTCTGTAGGAATACAGTCTCAAGTGTGTTTCTGTTGCTGGTGCTGTGACAAAAACATGTGTAACTCAGCCTCTATGTGCCTGTTTTTCTCCATCTATAAACTGTGGAACCTGATATTTACAATATGCCCAGCTGATAGGGAGTCTCATAAAATAAAGTAATTACAAAGACTTTTATGTTATGTGTGTGATAAAATAAAATTGACTCTGTTTCTTCAGCCTTTAAAACAACACACAATGAAGTCAATGTGCCATTTTACAATGACGAACGAAACCTAATTTAAATACCAACTTTAAACACTTGTAAAATTGAAAAGAAAAAAAAATCCAGGACTTATTCTCCTTGACTTAACTGAAAACAAATGCACCCAGTTTTTTTGTCCTCTAATGACCTCTTGATAGTCACAAAAGCCAAAATATACCTACATCAAAAATGTAAGTAAATTATAGTTCCTGGAAGTGAATTTCTTGATAATATTTCTGAAGAGGCATTAAATTCAAAGGACAAACTCTCATCTATCTCTTTGCAATACCAGTTTTCTTCTTTTCCAGTGGAATTCTGACCATAACAATCAGATGACAGAAAAAAAAAAGGTCTCAATTCTGATTTTACCCCCTGGCGTGTAAATGACAGTTTTGTGACTTGCTAAAGTCAGTGTCCGAGTGGCGGCAGTGTCCCAATGTCTACTGTCCTTCTCACTTCCCATTGCCTCAGACCAGCAGCCAACGAAACAGGCGATGGCGAAGTCAGTTACGTGATTATTTCCCGAGCCCAGCCTTTGAGAGCTGTATCTTACTTTTAAATGTGGCCAGCTTCCAACGCATCTCAGCAACAGTAAAACAAACACATCCATCCACTGATGCAGGTCAGCAGCAACCCCAGGGCTCCCTCTCACAGGCAACACAGAGCAGTCAGACTGTAGCTGATGATGTGGTGAGGCCCTCAAAGAAAGAGATGCACAAAGCATTTGAGGTCAAGAAACCCAAGGCTACATAATAATTTGTTCTTAGGTTTTCCACCATGGGTCTGATTTTTAAAGACATGGGGATTCCCCATTGCCTGTAGCTCATTAATCACAGTAGCTTTTGATTATGAAAAGTGCAGTTCCAAAGATAGTACTCCAGGACTTGGCAGGGAGATTCTATGCCTGTCCTTTGAATGTGCCAGAGCCCTCCGAACCCTGCCAACTCTGATTGCACTTAGCATTAATTGAAGATGCTGAGGAATATAAGCCTTTTTGAGTTTAGCCACCTGGAGCAGATTAAAACCTTTGTCCTGCTGGTAACGTGGTCCAGGGATTGGGAATACAGGGCTGTTTTAATCTTTTCCAAGTCAGGCTGTTTAGAAATATCCATACATCAAATGTTCATGGATCTCATGCACTTTCCTTCTCAGGGGAGAATTCAATTACCAGCAACACGAAGTGGGATTAACTTGTCATGGTGAGCCATCTGGAGAAAGAAGGCCCACTACCCCTGCAAATATGCTCAGAGATTTCCACTATGCTTGTGAAGTTTCTGAAGGCACTCCAAGCTGCAAATGATGTTTTCTCTGAAAGACATTTCAGTTAACCTGGTGAAAATGAAATGCTATTAGACTAGGCCTCCCTGTGTGCTGAAGATCTACCAGGCCACCTGGAAAGTTCTGTTAAAGACAGAGAACCACTGAGAGAGGCTTGGAGCTGCACTACAAACACCGACAGAAAGGTTGGTGAGACTTCAGAAAGGCTGAGATGAATATGGACACTACTGAGTTGGGAGTCAGCTTTGTAGATCTTTTCTGGAATGCTGGCTTCCTTGAAGAATAAAGAAAACAACAACAACAACAACCCTAGAGCACTCCATAGGTTAAGGCAGGAAGATCTAAGTCAAAGTTTGCCTAGGCTATAGCACTACAACCTACATAAAAGGAAAAAAAAGAAATTTAGATTAACTTCAGAAAGCAAAAGCCAAATGAATGGCTTCATAGTTCATAGTTCAAACCAAGAAGCAGAGTTCAGGGGGTAGATATGATAAGACCCAGGAGATCAATAGTCAAGCCAGTATACCCTGGAAAGAGTCATGTTGTACTAAAATGTAGCCAGCCTTCAGAGCCACCAAGATGGCAGTCCTCTGGAGGCAAAGCTAAGCTATACCAAAAAGCAAGTGCCACCCATGAAAATTCAGTTGGGAAAGCACTACGATGGGAGGGAAGGTCAAGCCAGGAGGGTGGAGGACAGACAAATTGGTGAGAAATGATGGTTTATTTAAAATTAGTTTCCTTAACTCTTTAGTGTCTTTACAGTTAAAATCACCAACAACCTATATGAAAAGCACTTTTAATTTGCAAATAAATTGCAATGCATTCAAACAACAATTAGATTGCCAAATTATGATACATGACCACATTGATTCTGAACAATATGCATTAGGTTTCTAGGCACATTTGATGAGACTAACATAAAGTTGATGTGAAAACCAGGAAATGGTATTATGAGACAGGAACAGTTCCAGCTCAACTCAGTTTTGAGCATAAATGGAAAAAGTCCCACCCCCAAAAAAAGATATTAGCAAACTAAATCTAAAAATGTGTAAAACCAATCCATATATAATGCCCAAAAAACATTGATCTCAAGATTGAATGGGAGTTTAACGTTACCAGAAAATCGAGATTTGACACAAGCAAGGAGGGAACTTCGATTGAGAAAATACCTCTATAGTATAGTTCCAGCTATAGGGCATTTTCTTAGTTAGTGATTGATGGGGAAGAACCCAGCCATTGTGAGTGGTGACATCCCTGGGCTGGAGGTCCTGAGTTGTATAAGAAAGAAGGTTGAGCAAGCCACAGGCAGTAAGCTACTCCCCTCCATGTCTTCTGCTTCAGTTCCTGTCTCCAGGTTCCTGCCTTGCTTGAGTGCCTGCCTCCACTGTTTTTGGTGATGAGCTGTGATACGGAGCTGTGAGAGAAATAAACCCTTTCCTCCTCAAGTTGCTTTCGGTCATAATGCTTCATCTCAGCAGTAGTGGCCCTAGCCAAGACAGTCCTCATCCAGAGCAAAATCCAAAATCTCTTCTATCAGTTTTTTTTTTGTCTGTTTGTTGTTTGTTTTTCGAGACAGGGTTTTTCTGTATAGCTCTGGCTGTCTGGAACTAGCTCTGTAGATCAGGCTGGCTTCGAACTCACAAAAAGTGCTGGGATTAAAGGCACACCTTTAATCTCAGTATTTGGGAGGCAAAGACAGGGAGATCTCTGAGTTCAAGGCCAGCTTGCTTTACAGAGTGAGTTACAGGACAACCAGGGCTACACAGAGAAACTCTGTCTCACAAAATCAAACTAAACTGAAACAAAACCAACCAACCAACCAAACACCAACCCTGAAGGCTAAGAGTAAAGCTCAGTACTTGCCTAGTATGGGCTTTATTTCTAATATTGAAAAACACAGGCTAGAGCTAAAGTATTATCCTCCTGTCAGGTTCAAAAGCAAGAGAGCCTGCTATCACTATTTCTAGTCAATTTTTGTTGCATCCAAGCCAGTACAGTAAGAAATTAAAGGCAGTGGAGAGGAAAGAAATAAGGTAATGTGATGATAAGATAGTTTTTACAGAAAATTGAAGAAATGTTTTAAGACAAACTATTGCATGTAAGGACTTTAGTGAGACTACTGGAGAAAATACCAGTATGTTTAAGTTACATATAAACAACACAAAATAAATTGGAACACATAAATAAACTCACAATGGCAACACAACTTACAGCTTCAACCGATAAACCTAACAAAAGAATTCTGAATTCTTTCTGACTAATAGCTGGAATATAGAGAACACATAAGTGAATGGGAAACTACAGTATACCATTCTACAGTTGTTTATTATTTTGATGACTAAAAAGTATCTTCAACAGCAATAATCTATCCCTTAATATCAAAATTCAGTACAATTTCAGATAGTATCTCAATAGTTAGTTTATGCTATTAAATTTTGCATAGAAAATTACTGTACTTAATTTGATAAATCAAGAACTAATAAATTTTTCAAAAGTGAGAATTATGTTTATCAAATACTAAGGGTTAAAATAAAACTGTAGGACTAAAACAGTGTAGCATCAAGGCAGTGATAAATATTAGGCAATAAAACAGAAGAGATTTTAATGAATGGCTAATAAATGATTGTGTAGTAAATGGCTCTTAAAAAATGGTGTCCAGATAGAAAAAGGCAAAATCATTTCCCATCTCACTCTATACATGAAAATCAATTTTGTGAACAATAAAAGTTTTAACTTCTGATTACAAAATAAGAGAAAACCATTATTATATTTTATATTAAGACCCATTAAATTGAAAATCTATAGTTACAAAATTTTTAAATAAAATGTCGAGTTTGAAAAGTAAGTTGGAGTCTAGTGGTGGTGCACATCTTTAATCCCAGCACAGAGGCAGAGGTAGGCAGATCTCTGTGAGTTCGATGCCAGCCTGGTCTACAGAGTAAGTTCCTGGACAGCCAGGACTACACAGAGAAACCTGTCTTGAAAAACTAACCTACAAACAAAACAAACAGAAAAGTAAGTTGGAGGTTGGAGAGATAGCTCACTGCACATGTGTTCGGACCTGAATTTGATCCCTAGCACCCGTGTTACAATCTGAGTATTGTGGCCCATGCTCCTAATCCCAGCAATGAGGTCTAGACAGGACGACCTCCAGCCTAGCCCAGGGAGTAAGTCCCAGATCCAAGTGAGAGCCCTTGTCTCACAACACAAAGAAGACAGCCCTTGAGAAGCAGCACCTGCAGTTGGCCCTGGGTCTCACAAGTACATACACCTGCAATAACATGCATACCCCTCCCCGACCACAAAGAAACCTAGGCTAAAGCTGGACATATCAGCTCATATTTACAATCCCAGAACCTGGGAGTCAGAGAAATGAGGATACTACAAGTTTGAGATCAGCCTTGTCTACACAGTGAGTTCCAGGCTAGTCAGGGATACATAGTGAGACTCTGTTAGAAAAAACCAAAAGAGAAAGTGATAGACAGGGGAGAGGAAGGAAAATTAGGTTGGAAAATGATATGCAGTATACACACAGATGAAATATGACACTACAACATATGGATTACAAAGATAACCATTGATGAACCCAACTCCTTACAAATTAAAACATCTACCCAGAAGATACAACCAGCCCTCTTGATTCTGCTAATTATTAGAGAAATGAACATTAAAGATCAATGAGAGTCCAGCATATTGGCAAAAGGTTTGTTTGTTATGTGTACTGCAGGACTCTCTTTTATTATCCTGTTGATTTTCTAGTTTTGTACTTTATTGGACAGTTAAATATGGCTGATATATGTATATGCAAAATACCTTAACATGACTTTAACATTTCATCCCTTTCCTCACCAGAAAAGAACATTGTTTCATTTGTTACCAAAAACTGTATAACAGTAGAAATGAGATTAAAATCATTTGAACTCTATTTCCTTTCCTCACTGGTATCATATTTTCCGATGACCAATCCAAGTCCAAAGACTGACTTGTGCAAAAGGAAATAGCTGAAAACGGAAGCCAATGGCGGTGCGATGCTTTTCTACCAAGCCACTTGTTCAGACCTTTCACAGACACCAGAGTTGCCCCAGGAGGTTAGTTTCTAGGAAATCTCTAGGTTGCAGTGGGAGCAAACTGACCGTCGATATTGAACTGTGGTCAGATGAGAGCAGACTGCTTCTTTCAGGAGGAGAATGGCTCAGAGCGGAGCTGTCTCATCACTCCTTGACAAATAGTTTTAGGTAGGGAAAAGTCTATCGACTTTTGACCTGGTACCCCACTTTGGTAGTCGGTTCATCTTTTTCCTTTGTAGGTTTAGTTATCATTTTGGTGGACACTCCATCTTATTCTTTTAGGGACTTAATTGTCATTAACTTTTTGTCCTTGTGGATATCATTTGCAGAGCAATGTGTGAGATGTACAGAGAGCTGATGTTGTAGAGCTTAGCCTTTATGGAAGATTCTCACCCAGGTTACCAGCAGAGTACCTGTGTGGTCCTCAGAAACCATTACAGTTTAAACAAAACATGGATTGGCTTGCCTCGAATGCAGTGGGTAATTGTAATTCACACAAAACTCCATAGTCCATGAACCCAGACCTCCCACGCACCTCCTATTTAGCGTCGTGCATATCAGAAAAATGTTTAGTGTTCCGGCCATTAACAAGTAATTCCCAAGCAGAGAGAAAAGGAAAAGCAAAAACAGCCAGTGCAGAGTCAGCTGCTCTCTCACTAGCTCTCCTAGCAGCCTCCCAGTCAGTCATGTTTGCTTCTATTGTTTTCCAGAAACATGCCAACGGGATCACCACGAGCAAGGAAGTGAGCGCACTGATGCCACGCGACCACCATGAGCACACTGAGACTCTCAACAAAACTAAAAGATCTGTTTGTAAATAAGGTGGGGGAAAAAGGGGCAGTTGGTCAGGCGTCCAAGAGTCTAAGTCATCTAGTACACAAAATCAAGGGTAAAATGCCAAGTGGGTTTTGTTCAGGTTAAGGCCATATGGCCAGGAATGTAAAATTAGCCCACGGTCTTTCTTGATGGTGAGTTGGATTTAGACAAATGGTGGTGAGGGGTTGGGGGTGGGAGCAGAAAGGCCATGTGCAGGGGTGGGGTGAAATTTCTCAAAGCAGTGGAGAGAGGAAACAGAGAGAGGGAAAGAGGGAAGAAGGCTTTCTTTCCTCTGTGGTTTCTGGGAGTGCGAAGGCAGGCAGAGTGGCCGTCTCAATGCTAGCTGATTCCACCGCCAGTGATAACAGATGGTACAGTATTGATATAAACACTTCGGCATGCTGATTAATAGGGAAGGACAGAAAGTCCAGAAACAGACCCTTACATTGATTAAAAACCAAACCCCTGATTTTTCTCCTCAGTGGTTGTGAGAGAGCCTGAGGCCTCAACCTGGCTGGACAGTTTGTCTAGCACTCAGCTGTATCCGCAGCCAAACCCTGATTTTGACAAAGGCAGGCAGGGGAGAACAAAATGTGTTGCCTTATTGAAACAAAACAGCCTAACTCAGATGGGTAATAGACCAAAACGTAAAACTCAAAACTATAAAATTAGGGGAATAAAACACAGAAACTATTTGTGGTCTTGGACTAGCAACCATTTCTTAAATCTGATACCCCCAAGTCCCCACAAACGATAAAATGATAAAACGAAGTTCAACAAAATTAAAAGCTTCTCATCCCAAGATATAATTAGGAAATAGAAAATAGGATCCACAGATAGGAAAAGTGGAAATTTGTAAGGAAAATATTTGATAAAAATTTCTGCCCAGAGAATATATAAAGAACCTTGAAAACATCCTAACAAGTAATCTAACAATAAATGGAAAAAAATAAAGATGTATATATAATTTTCCAAGGGAATTTCGTGGTCTACAGTTTAAGTAAGTACACGAAAAATGTTGGGTACTGCTAATTGTCAGACACTGACAAATAACACCCGCACAAGAGATACCTATTACTGTAATTTCAATCTAACTGTATAGCGATGCACTCCTATAGGCTCAGTCCGGAAGCAGGAAGATTCTCAGAAACAAAACGAAACAACAGCCAAAGAAAAGGCCTGGACAGTCAACTGTGGGCAAGGGAGGAGTGAACAGGGACTTTCATACATTGCTGGTGAAGCAGCCGCTGCCTTTGAAACCTGATCGGTCCCTTTCTAGGTGTCCACACAAAAGATGACACCTCCATCCACCTACAGACATGCACAGGAATTCTCCTGACAGCTTTGTTTTTGATGTGAAGAAACCGGAAACAGCCTAAACTAATAGGTAACTGGCTGAATACAGTTTATTTAGTACAATGGAATACTACTCAGAACAAAACATGATTTGGGCACAATTGTAACACAAAAGGCCAAGTAGCCACGTCCAAATAATTACGTTGAGTGAAGGAAGCCAGATAAAAGCAATTATAATTGGTATGACTCGGCTTGCACACACTCTGCAAAACGTAAACAAACTGAAACACAACAGGTTTTAGGCTAGCAATGACCCCAACCGGAGGGAGGTGCCTGCGGGAGGAGGGAATGCGGATCCGGAAACGCAGTGAAGGTTAAGGGCTAGCGGGTGCAAAGAGCAAGCGGATAAATTAGGCAGTGGGGGTGGGGTGAAGAACGAGCCAGAAGGGAGAGCGGGGAGGAGGAGAGGGGACCTGGGCGGAGGGGAGGAACCTGGCGGAGGGTGGGGGTAGGTAGCGTGGGGAGGGAACCCGTTGGTGGCAGCGTCATGGCGCGCCTACTGCGAGCACTGCGGGGCCTGTCCTTGCTGGAGGTGCCTGGGCGGCCAGTTCGGGGTTGTGCGGGGTCGGGACGCGGGGACTCAGGTAGGTCTTCAGTCGCCTCGTGGCTTTCGGTTTCACTGCCCACTGCCCTGGCTGATTCGGGCCGCTCTCTCGTGGTGCGCTGAGAGCATGGTCCCGGTGACCCGCTGCCCCTGGCAGCCCGAGTTGTCGAGCACCGTGGTCGGTAAACTCGGTGTGTTGGGGGAGCGTTGATCCCGGAGAGAATCTCGGGAGGGTACGAATTCTCTCCCACTCTTGCACACAATTCGTTTATATGTTACATTTTAGTTAGTGCAGTGTCAGGAGCCAGTCAGGGACCCAGTGGTGGTCAACAGCTGAACATCGTGCACAGGACATTAACTCCTGAGCAGGACGAAATTAGTCCTTTGCCCGTACATCCCCTTTCCGAGGACTGCCCCCTAGCTGCCTCCCGACCTGAGTGAGCTGCCTGCCGACTGGCCCAATGCTGTCCCGTGGGTGCATACTGCCAGACTGCATTGGTCTGTGTGGATCGAGTACCTGAGACATGTCCTGATTAGTCTCGTGTTCCTACAGTCATTGTTAGTGGCTGAGAGACGGAAAGGGAGTGGGGTGGAAAGTGCTTTTGGTCCTCCTTTGTGAGCTGAAAAGGCGTGGGAGTCATCGATTTCATGCCCCTGTGATTTGGCTCTGGGTAGCTGCTCTCTTGACCTCCTTTCCAACCCCTCCTTTTCAACCTAATTTCATATATTATGTGCTGACGTTTCCAATTCTTTTGGTCTTTGTAGACTCTTGCTACTTTAAAATTTTAGTGTTCGATGAATATATGCCCTAGATTGTAAACTGTTAACTGATCCAACACCGACTTACAGTTAGAGCTTCTTCATTCCTTTGGTGTCTCAGTTAGACCCTGTGCAAGCCTAGTGGACTGGAGCTGTGCTGGTACTTACAGCTGAGCGACCGTTAGTGGAAATCCCATGGAACTGGTGCTGTCAGAAGAGGCCTGCTGAATAGCCCCGGGAGCTGAGAGTCTTCAGCCATATTAAATTTGGCCAGACACCAGTATATAGCTGTGTAACTTACCAGACAGCCCCTCCAGCGAGTTTATTCTACGGAAATAATTCAAAAGAACAAAGCTGTATTGCAAAGACCTTCTTAACAGCATTACTCTCAGGATGGGAAACTGGCCTCAGCCCAAACAGTTAAGGAATACTTAAATAAAGCATGAAGGTCCAGGTCAACAAACTGTAGCCATTAAGAATGAGAAGCAGGTGATGGTCTGTGGTTAAGGTCTTGGTTGTTCCAGTGTCAGCTCTTACTGGCTTTGATGTGTAGGCATCCATAACAAATACTAAGTAGAGGGCATAAACAAAATGTAGTTCTTACCATTTCGGAGGCTGAGAGGTCAAAGATCAAGGAGGCAGATTGGGTTGCCAGTGGGGACCCAGTATCTGACTTGGAGATGTCCACTATCCTGTGTGTGTTCATACGAGGTTCCCTTACTGCAGTGGGAGTGGAGACAGAAACTCTCAGGGCTAACCCTTTCTTTTCCTCGCTTTTGTCTCCACAACAGTTCCATGTTTCCCTTACTCATTCGCCTGCTGGACGTCTAGGCTGGATCCATTTCTTAGCTAATGTGTAAACATAAATGTGCAAATGTCCCGAGGTGGACTTAGAACCCTTTAGATATGTGTTGGAGATGAAGATATAACAATCTTTAATGTGTATGCACTTAACAACAGAGTGTCAAGCTGTGTCATGAAAACTAGTTGGGGGGGGGAGGGTGAACTCACCATCATGGCTAGAGTGGAGATTTCCAGGTGGTGATCATGGGCTGGGATTTGGAGCTATTAGGTGGTAAAATTTCCAGGAAGGCAGTATGGAAGCAGAAGGAGGCCTAGGACAGGACCCCTCCTGCTGGACGATTATAAACTCCTTCCAGTGTTGAACAGTGAAAACATTTATTATCAGAATTAGGCTTGCTCTGGGGGTTGCGTTTTATTTGTGTTTTGTTGTTAGCTTGACACAGGCTAGAGTTACTTGAGAAGAGGCAAATCTGTAAGGACGTTCTCTTGACTGGTGATTGGTGTGGAAGGGTCCAGGCCACTGTGGGCCTTGCCATCCCTGGGCAGATGGTTCTGGGGTGGATGAAAAAGCAGGCTGAGAGAGCTGTGAAGAACAGTGGGTAGGCAGTGCTTCTCAGACATCTCTGCCCCATTCTGCCTCCAGCTCCTGGCTCCCCCCAGGAATGGCATAGGACCTGGCTTGTGAGATGAAATGAGCCCTTTATTCCCAAGCTGCTTTGGGTCATGGTGTTTTGTCACAGCAATAGAAACCCTAACGGCTTTATACCCACCTTAACTGTGCTTTGTGTACACGTGTCCATATAAATATAATAGCGCAGAAGTAGTACCAAGCAAGAGAAAGGGGGAACACAATATGGACAGAAATCACGAAGCACACAGCAACACATTAAAGTACAACAAGAAGTGTCAGCAGGTCAAGGTCAGCCCAGACTACACAGTAGGCGTGGCAACCTGGCCTTTGCAAGACCTTATCTTAAAACAAACAAAGGCAAACATAACAGACAGATTCACTTTGGGGCGATACACTAGGGCTCTCTATGCAAGAGGATTTTTGGAATACAGACCCCTTTGGGCTTACAGAATTCAAGATGCCTTTGCAAGTAGCTAGGGAAGGAGTGTAATAACTCCTCCCTTAAAGATCATCTCTGTCCAGTCTCTCACTGCTCCTAGCTGGGCCCTGATGGAAACCACTTTTCAGAACGAGCGTGTGGTCCATCTGCAGCACTCCCGGGCACATATCTAAAGGGTTCTAAGTCCACCTCGGGACATTTGCACATTTATGTTTACACATTAGCTAAGAAATGGATCCAGCCTAGACGTCCAGTAGGTGAATGGATAAGGGAAACATGGAACTGTTATGGAGTTCAAAACCATCTGAAAAGCACCACCAGACTCCATTCGGATAATAATTAGCCAAATGTATTAAAACTTCTAGCAAGGCCGCGGTGTCTAAATGTTTTCCAGAGGCAGGTGAAGGAAACCTTTGTCCTTTAAAGGTGAAAACCACAGGGAGTTCCTGAATATGTGCAAAAGCAAGTTAGGGAGGCCAAAGAGCCATTCTGCTCTGCCAGCATCAGGTTTTCATGGTGACCTCAAAATAGTCCTTGGATATCTGCATAAGCAGGCTACAGAAGCCCAGATCGGGAGGTAGCCCTGTCATTATAAGCAGATGGTCGCTGCTGCAGTTTTGAGTGGCAGCTCAAGAAGTCAGGGTTGTCAGGAACTTACCTTTGAGACAAAATGGAGTTTCTTTAGCCATCACAGTACACACACACACACACACACACACACACACACACACACACACACACACACACTGGAACTTTATTCAACTCTAAAGAAAATGAAATCATGGTGTTTGCAGGGAAATCAATGGAACTTGATGTTAAGCTTCCCAGACTAGGAAAGACATGCCTCACTTTTTCTTTCATATACAGGTCCTCATATATTTTAATATATTTGTGTGTTTCGGGTAACATAATGTATGTGCCAGCAAAAGGAGGGTAGGGAGCAGAGGGACGGAGTGGAGAATGAGAGAGGGCCAGTAATGAAAACAGCGCATGCGTGGAAATGCCTGAATGGAATCCATTACTCTGTGCTGAGTTTTTAAAAATTTTTTAAATTGCAAAAAAGAAGCTGGGACACAAAAAGATTTTCCGAAGTCATGTGACTAATCAGTAAATCTACGAAGGGTCAGGAGGGGTCGGAAGGGCCAGGAAGACTGATCTGCCCTACTGTAAGTGGGATATTATACATTCTGTCTAAGGAAAAGTAAACCAAAAAAAAAAAAAGAGAGAGGAAAAAAAGAAAAAAAAAAGACTTGAATTTGTTGACTGCAGAAATGGGAGGTGCCTGGGGAGAATTTGTTTGGTAGTATTTCTTATTTGAGCCACTTTGGGGTCTGTGCCCCAGGAGGACCGGACAGGCCACTGACTCTCTACCCATCACTGGTTTCTTGTTAATGAAATGGGGGAGGTGTCTTGTGCCGCCTGAGCCTTCTGGTTCCTGTGACCAGTGAAGCCACAGCTGAGAGAGAAAGAACTGGGATTATCCCTCCAGGTGATTGTACAAGCCAAAATGGGGGAGGGGCAACGCTTTATTTTAATAAAATAAATTCCCTACTTAACAATGCAGAGTCCCTTACAAAGCCCAAGCTCTGTCTAAGCAAGACTGACTGGCAGAAGAAGCTGACCCCCGAGCAGTTCCATGTCACGAGAGAGAAAGGAACTGAGGCGGTAAGCAGAACGACACACAGTGCCCTGGTGGGGTTTTCTCTCGGGGAGGGGAGGCTGGGGTAGAGGTGCCTGCAAACCCTCACATGCGCACTGTGAGAATCCCGCCGGCCTCCAGCAGTCTCCACCCACCCGAAGAAACTAGAATCCTTCTCCATCCTTCAGTGCCGCACATGCTCTCCAAACTCCACTGCCGGTCACTGCTGACCCCAGGCCAACATTGACAATCCACCTCGCTCTAGCTACTTCTCTCTTCTCCCTGCTTTCTCTCCCTCCCCAAAGGAGTCTTTTGAGAACAAAGTGGACCACGCTACTTCCCAGCTAATAATCACTTGGAACCTTGACATTGCTCTCAAAGTGAATGCACAGCACTTAAATACTAACTAACCTCTCACTACTTAAAAACACAGTCTCAGCTGTGGTCCCTACCGGGCCCCTGCCTCAGAGGCAGCTGTGTTTCCTCTGGTTCCTGCACTATGGCCACATAGTCCTCACAGCAAGAAAATGCTCTGCCTTCTTCCCCTTAAGGCCCTTGTTTCTTGGGCTCCTTTCCCAGTCATTTGTCCTGATAATTAATTCAGACCCTCCTTTTAAGATTTACTATTTTATATATAGATATACATATGTGCATATGTAAATATATATATATATATATATATATATATATATATATATATGTGTGTGTGTGTGTGTGTGTGTGTGTGTGTGTGTGTGTATGTCCTACGGTCCTGAAAAGGCATGGGTATCCCCTGGAGCTGGAGTTACGGACTGTGGTGAACTGCCACTGGTGTGGGTTCTGGGCACCAAACTTGGGTCCTCTGGAAGAGCAAGGAAGTGCTCTTAACTGCTGAATTATCTTTCCAACCCAACTCAACTCAGATTCCTTTCTCCAGGAGGCCTTTCCTCAACTCCAGCCTAGGCTGCCTCTTCAGTATTCCCCCTCACAGCAGTGCCCCAAGTTCTGTTTCCTGGTACTTGCTCTGTGCCTGGCTGGAGGAGGCACCCAGACTAGAGATGCTGGTGAATGTGGTGTGTCAGAGGCGGACACACCCAGCTGCACTGAGTAGTCTCAGCTTCTGTTCATCTCCTCGGGTGACGGCGCTGCGGCTGACGACAGTGGTGCCACTGAGGCTCCAGTCTTGAGCTGGTCTATGAGATGCTTTCATTCCTGAGGTAGATCCCATGGCAGGCCCTGCGTAGTGGCTCTTCGGTGTTGTGTGACCAGTGTGTTTGCCTGTTGGTACCCGTGCAAGTGCAGGCAGCTTTGGGCTTTTAAACACAATCATAGGCTCAGTTTCTCTGATGCCACAGCCACCAGCCAAGTTGGCAGATCCCGATAGATTCTTGTGAAATTTTTCTGAGGCTATATTTTTGTCCAACTTCCTGTGGGTGGAAATGAGACAGTTTTTCTCATTGTTTTTAACAGCACAAGAGAAACACACAAGATGCTCTGAGATGCTGTGTAATCCCGGAATGTCCTAAGACCAGCCTAATTCCCACGTAACCAGCCAGGCAGGGTTTGGTGTGTACAGGGAGCCTGGAGACAGTCTGCCAGATGTTTAGGAGAATAAATCTGCTGGCTTCTGAAGCAGATGGTGGATATCCTTTACATTTGGACCTTTTACAAAATGAGCATCATCCATTATTTTAACTAATGTTGTAAATCCCTTCCAGAGGCTCCATTTCCACATTTAACTTTTTAGAATTGTGCAGAGCTGTAAGCATCAGTCAGCTTCATTAGTCGAAGGGAAGAGCAGCTCCCAAAGCCTCCTGATTGCTGACGACTAATTAAAATTCAGTTGCACTTATTGTTTTTTAATCAGGTAGTAGTGGTGTGTTAGCAGTGCTTGCAGCCAGTGCAAAGATTTGCACCCTGACTGAGTAACAGCCAAGAGTCGGGCAGCCACAGAAGGGGAGTTAGTTTCTCAGGTCCTTCTCTGTCCTCTGGATCTGGTCTCCATACTTTGAGCCCCAGGAGGAGGACCAGCTTTCTTGCCCTGTGGCTTCTGGTTGACATGAGGCTGCAGAAGACACCATGAGCCCTAAAAGAGCAGGGTAGAGGAATCAGGCGGCATTGTCTCCATCAGGCGGCCCGCATGTGCATTCCTGGCAGCCACAGCCTCACCAAAATCTGGTGATTGTCTCTTCCCTTGCCCCATAGGCCTGTTGGGGAGTGTGTCCTCAGAGCCACCAACCCAGTGTCTCCTTGAATCCTTTTGTTGGCTTCCGTCTGTTCTGACCCTTCCTCTTGAATAAGATTACCTGCATGCAGCCATCTCTTTTAAACATGTGCTCTGCCGCTAGCACATGAGAACTAACAGAACCGAAGAAGAAGGAACTGTTACTGGTCCAGACAGACTTGAAATCTCAGGGTGGTGTTTAAGTTCACTCTGTTTTTGACCCTGCTCCCTTCTCCTGTGCAGGCGGCCATTTCAATTCTAGCTTCTGAGGCCCCCTCCCTCCCTCTCTCCCTCCTTCCCTCCCTCCTCCTTCTCTCCTTTTTCTTTTTCAGTTTCCAACTGCATCAGTAGCACTACCCAGAACTGGATTAATGATTGACATTCTCTAACCTCCCTTTTCTCTTGCCTCTGATATCTCTTTGCCTTTCAAGTCATTTGTGTGGTGTGTGTGTGTGTGTGTGTGTGTGTGTGTGTGTTTCCCCTCCCTCCTCTTCCCTTCCTTCCTCTTTCCCTCTCCTCTCATTCCCTTGGCGCTGAGAGTGGGCACAAAGCTCCGATCATGAGCGCAGCAGTAGCCAGTTTGAAATGTCCCTCTCCAGTCCCCGCTTGAGCAGAGCCAGGTGTACATTCTTATTGCATCCCAGGCTGGTCTGGCTCCTCCTACCTTCTCAGTCTGAAACACTCTCTTTCTTATCTGCTCAGTTCTTACCCATTCTTCAAAGCTCAACTCAGTAGTGATTGGCATTTTTCTATAATCAGCATGTATCAGCTGATTAATTAATAATGAAAGGTTAAAAGACTAAAGACCCCCCATCCCCATCTCAGACACCGACTGTACAGAAACCCTTCACAGACACTGCTTCCAAGGGAAGGTTCTTTGTTAGTCTCTCTTATGGCTGTCATCATGAAGTATGACTATCATCTCTCAGGTTCTTGTCATCAGGGCAGTACAAGAAAATTGGTTTTAATTTGGGAAGGTAATTAACTTTTGAGTTAATTTTTCCCATCTGAAACTTTAGCACCCAGTCCAGCACTGATTATATGCTAGATTATCAGTAAATACTAGGACAAACAGATAAAATAGAGGCTGTCTTGTTCCTGATATGTGAAAGGGCTTAGACTACATCAGGAGGGCGACGAGGAGACATAGGAGTCAGGAAGGGCGTAGCAGATAGACATCATGGCAGGACATAGGTTAAGTCATAATTCCTGTGCATTTGGATTATTTAGTTTAGTTACTGTTATAGCAACCCCATGACTCTTATATTAATGAAATATTTTGAATTTTGTAGGCTGCCTAGTTTCTGTGGACAGGACTTTGTAGATCAGTCTTCATGGCAGGGATGTCCACAGTGCTCAAGTCTGTGAATGAATAGCTCACTAGACTCATTCAGACTTGTGAGTAAATTTATTATCACTTCCTTTCTTCTTTCCTCCCTTCCTCTCTCCATCTCTCCTTCCTTCCTCCCTTCCCTTCCTTCCTTTCTTTCTCTTTAGACAGAGTTTGGCTGTGTATTTCAAGATGGTCTTGAACTCTTGATCCTCCTGCCTCAGCATCACGCATGCTATGCTTGCAGCCGTGTGCCACCAAGCCAGACTTTAAGTTTAAGACTCTTAGAGAGAGAGAGACAGAGAGACAGAGAGAGACAGAGAGAGAGACAGACAGAGAGAGAGAGAGAGAGAGAGAGAGAGAGAGAGAGAGAGAGAGAGAGAGAGAGAACATACAAGTGTGCCCATCTGGTAGACTCAGCAATGGATTTAAACATCCCACAGACAGCTTTTTCTCGAGAGATAGGAGAGCTGATTCCCTGGCAGTGCTGCCACCCAGCCAGCATTCCATGCTTTGAGTCCTGTTGTCTGTGTGGTTGGGTAATGCTTGCCACCATGACACGGCTTTTACAGTTAGCTTGTGCAAACGCTTTATAATTTTGCTGACTGAGGGGATGATAAAGGAACTCGACAAAATTTTTGAAAGATTATTCATTTTATTTGTGTGTGTGTGTGTGTGTGTGTGTGTGCATGAATTGATGTGTACCATGTGTGCAGGTATCCAAGGAGGCCAGAAGAGGGCATCGGATGTGGACTGCACTCATTCACTGCTTTGGTTCCCCTCATAGCCCTCTAAGCAGTTGAAAACCTACACCTTCTTTAAACTCCATCCACGTGATGACCTAGCACCGGGGCCCTGGCTCATCATTTAACCCTAATTGACTCTACACAGTGTTGACACTGCACAGCGTGTGTTAAAGGCAGAGCCCCAAATTCACTGAACGGTGCTTTTGATGTGATTGTGTTTTCTCTCCCCTTCTCTGTCTCCCTCACCCTCTCCCCCCACCCCTCCTATCAGGGATCAATCTCACGGTCTCTGCATACAAGTGAAGTACTCTGCCACTGAGCTGTACTCCCAACCCCGTTATATTCCATCTTTAATTAGGGAGTTCAAAGTGTCTTGGACGAGTGTTTAGACTCCTGTTGCTTTAGCTCTTTTGAAATGAGAGAGTGAAATCTTCCAGGATGGCAGAGGATGGGACTGGTGTTCATGCTTTCTCATGGACTTTGATGTTCTTGGATGAAAGGTGGTACATAAATACAAAGCATTATTAATGTCACACTTTGAATATTTGGCACGATAAAGGCCAGGCTGCCAAGAAGCTCGCAGGCTGCTTCCTTGGATGACTGTAGGTCTTCTCTGCTGATACATGCCCCTTTGCAAATGACTATAATCCCTTGATTGGGGGCTTTATTGTTGGTTTTGGGGTTTTGTTTTGTTGTTTGTGATGGTTGGGACTGACCTTAAGGCAAACACTTCAGAACTGAGCCAGCCTCACTCTTGGGTTTGTCCACTTTATCACGCCGAGTGTGACGATGTTCCTTCCGTCTTTGTTTTCAGCCTTTCAGTGGGATGTACTTGAACAACAAGGAGACAGGGATGTACCACTGTGTGTGCTGTGATAGCCCACTCTTCAGGTAAGAGGAGGAATGCAAAGAGACCTTAAATAAATACTCTTAGTTTTTGGTACTGAAGACTGAAACTGAGGGCTTCCTGTATGCTACCGGCCCTCAGGGTCCATTGATTGCCTTTGTCCTCTGTGATTACTGCTGTACAGAGAGCTGTTCATGGAGGAACTCTGTCTGCCTTGACTTTTTTCTGATATTTCATGCAGCTGACAGGGCTTCTGCCCCTCCTTTATGTATCTCTAAGAGAAAACAAAGTTCTGATGGGGACTTCATGATAAAGCCATTAGGAATTTTTAGAGGGGAAAGTATGTAAAGAAATCTAAACCTTAATAGTATTTGCTTGGCTATATGATTAAAACTATACCTCTCCCAGGGAAAATGGGTTTATAATTTAATTTAGCAAGCGCAGACTTTTATGAGGCTTGATTCCCCACAGTGCTTGACAGAAGCGAATACCGTGCCCTCTTCTATGTAGCTAAAAGTAAATTTAATTGTCCCTTGATTTCAAAGCCTCTTTTAAGTCAATCAGCATCTAAAATCTTTCAACAAAGGCTTTTTTTTGTTTAGATATTCAGGAAATAGTCTTTTAAAAAAGTAGATTCAAGGAAGAAGAAAGGAAACATCTTTGAAGTCCTGTTTTTCAGAACTTCAAAGATGTTTTCCTTTCTTTTGCATCAACCTTAAATTGGTTTAGAATAAAATATAAATCAAGCCAGCCCTGTGAATCTTCCATTAGGCAGAGCCTCCTTCTGTCCTTTGGGCTTTCAGCAGCCTGGCTTCTTGGCCAGCCGGCTGCTAATGTGAGCTGCATTAGGGAAGCCAGACCCCTCCTGCAAGGACAGGCGTGATTAGGATCGATTTTCCTTCATGCTCGGGAGGCCAGGCCGTGGCCCAGGCATATTGGGACTGGTGAGAAATTACCTGGAAGAGCCTACTACCCATCACCAGCTGCCAGGTCAGGCGTGCCAGCCAGGGAAAACCAGGATGAAGTTAGTTCTTACACAATGGTATTAGAAGAACGCATGACTTCTCCTGTCACAACACAGCAGTCAACAGACTTCTGTGATCCCAAGACTTTTTTAAAAATTTATTTTATATTTAATTGTGTGGGTGTGCACACATGTGTATGTGCATGCTCGTGTGAACACAGGTGCCCTCAGAAACCAGAGATGTCCCTTCATCTGGGGTTACAGGTTATTGTGAGCTGTCTGACATGGGTGCTGCCAACCAGACCTGTCCTCTACAAGAACATCATGTGCTCTTAACCCCTGAGTCCTGACATCGAAACCTGTGAGGCCTTTTGTCCACCAGCAAGCAGTCAGTTCCCCAGCAGATGCAGGCTGAGGGCATCCTCCAATTTAGTTCAGATCTGACCTTGTCTACATGGAGACAGTGTCAGATCCTGGGTGAACAGCTCAGGCCCCAAGTCCTGTACTCTACTTCTGATGTCCAGCACACTCTCCTAGTGTGCTCCTGACTAACCAGCTCTCTCTCTGTCAGGCTTCCCACACTCTCCTGTGTTCTCTGTTTCTCTTGAGTGGTACCCAGAACTCAGGGAGGCACTTACACTTACCACTTTGTTGGAAGGGTACCACTATTATGAAAGACACAGTTGAAGAGAATGGCTGCAGGGGAAGGATACAGGGTTCCATGCCATCTCTGAGGAAATTCTCTAGAAACTTCCATGAGTTCAGTTACCCAGAAACTCACTAGACCCTGTCCTTTTGGGTCATATGGAAGCTTCATTCCAAAATCATGGGCGTGGGTGACCAGCTCCCTTCCCTGCATGCTGGGGGCGGGGCTGAAAGGCCCCATGCTCTAACCATGCCTTGGTGACAAGTCTACATCCTGTATCCATAAGTTAAGATATTATACTCCAAAAGGATACTGTCACTCTGAGGATCATAAGAATTTTAGGAGTTGTATATGCTAGAAAATGGCAGAAAGAAACAATCATGTGGTTCACAGAATCATAGTAGTAAAAGGTGAGAGTCAGGCTTCAGAAAAATTAGTTATTCCTTCACCATCATTTCTGCCAATAGGAGATGTCAAAGGTTAGGGCGACTCACTAACCTTTTTTCAGCTGGGGACCTTGTAAAAATGTAAGACTACATTCTTCCCATTTAACTGCTGTGTAGGTATCCTGTTTCTCAGTCTGGAAGATGAGAAGTCATCCTTGTAAGGATGCTTCATCTCCAAGCTTCTGTTGACTCCATTGGTGTCCTAGTTTCTGTATATTTTCAGAGAAGTCTTTCCCACTATCCAATGGCTCCTCTCCCCATACCACGAAAGCTCAGTCACAGCACTGAAAAATAGGGGAACAGAGAGAAAGCAGAGTGAAGGCCTCTGGCCAGCAGGGCTTGCTATGGTGAAGGACACACTATGTCTGCACAGATCTCTAGAGGAATTTCAGATCCCATGTGGCCGTTGGGCATCCAGAGTATTGCCAGTGTGGTTGAGAAGCTAGACTTGTTAGGATTTTTAGCAAATTTAAGCTTAAGGAGTCACATGTAGCCAGTAACTACAGTGTTAGTACAGTGCTACAACCCCAAGTCACAGTGATACAGCCCAAATCCATAAGAAATCCAATTGAAATTCTGAAAGCCTGTTTGCCAAGTAGCCAGTTCACTGAACCAGCAGTTAGTTCATGAACCTCCATTGTTTTTTTTTCAGTAATTTTAGTTTTAAATGCAAAGCACCCCCCCACCCCCCCCACCCCCCCCCACCCCCCGTCTAGCTTCCTGTTACTATAAGAACATATCTGTCTAGCTACCTGTTACGACAGCTGACAGGACAAGGGGGAGCTCTTGAGCCCCAGACTGATGGCTGAGAGGCCAACAGGGGACGGATCCAGACTCCATGAATGTAGTATCAGTGAGGAGGTCTCAGAAATCTCTGGGGCCTTGGGTAGTAGATCAGTGTTTACCATGGCGTATGAATGAACTTTGGGAGCCCATTCCACATAAAGGGATGCTCTCTCAGCCTGGACACATGGGGAAGGGCCTAGGTCCTGCCCTGGATGAAATGACAGACTGTGGAGATCCCCCCCAAGGAGGGTCTCACCCTCCCTGGGGAATGATGTGGGGATTGGGTGGGAGGCTGGAGGGGTACTGGTGGAGGGACAAGGGAGAAGGGGTGGGAGAGGGAGCTGGGATCGACATGGGAAGCATGCATGTTTCTAATTTAAATAAAAACATATATTGAGTGGGGGAAAAAAGAACATATCCATTGAGCTTCCTATTACTATAATAGCACAGGAACTAATCAGCCTATAAAGATTTGGCTCACAGTCTTGGAGGTCTCATTTTTTTATGATACTGTATGCTAAAGCAAAACCTCAACTGCATGGCCGGGAACAAAGGGGAGAAAGGGAAGAGCCAGGCTCCCGCAGTCCTCTTCAGGAATGGTTGTTAACAAAAATTGAGTCTTAGAGAGACTAGGAGGTAAATTCAGGAACCCTGATTTCTTTTGTGGCTTCTTCTGCAGGCTGGTGGTCCTGCTGTGTGTTCTCTGGGATGTGCTCACCCCTGCTGTGCACTGACTTAAGTTCCCCCCCACGGAGCCTTCTTGAGAACACACATTGCATTTGGCTGGCTTTGTTTTCTCTTCTAAGTTCCTGTTACTATGTTAGCACACAGTTCAGAGCTTAAATGCTTTCTATTGACCCAAATGTTTTATTTAGTGAAGGAGATAAAGCTGATAGGCTGTTCGAGGCCCTTGGCCAGTTAATTTTATGTACATGTATCATGGTTGAATTCTGTGTCCTGGTCAGTTTTGATTGTTGATTTAATGCAACCAAGAGCCACCTGGGAAGGAGTTTTAATTGCCTAGACTAGATTGACCTGTGGACACATTTGTGGAACTGTCTTGATTGATGATTGATGTGGGAGGGCCCAGCCCACTGTTATTTGTGGGCAGTACCTCAGGTAGGTGGTCCTGGGTCAGATGAGAATTTGAGTCTGAGCACAAAGAGAACATGCAGCAAGCAATATCTCTTCCTCCATGTTCTAGCCCTGACTTCCTTCAGGGTGGGTGGATTGTGGCCTGAATGTTGTAAAATTAAATAAACCCTCTTACTCCCTATGTTCCTTTTGTTCAGAGAGTTTTATCACAGCAACAGAAAGGCCAACTAGAGCATTGTGTCTCTGAGGAAATCATGTTGGAGCCTTCATCTCCAGAAGCTCTGAACGTGGCCTTAGGTGGAAATATGGTCACTGCAGATGGAATGTGTTGCAATCAGGTCACACTGAAGTTGGATGCTCTTTTAATCCAATATGACTGGTGTCCTAATAAGAGGAGGGGGAACAGGTCCAAAGAGGAGACTGTCACATGACAGGGACAGAAAGACTGGAACATTTCAGAGGTTTGCCAGCCACTTCCAGATGCTAAGAGGAGGCAGAACACAGGGGCTTCCTGGGGTCTTCTAGAGGACCTGGCCCTGCTGAGATCTTGATTTTGGACTTTCAGCCTTCAGTACCATAAGACCATATCATCTACTTTTGTTGCAATTTGTTAACACTGCCCCTAGAAGCTAACATGATGTGCTTAAAACAGGTTTCTCGACTCATCCATCCACCGCATCTTTCTGACTCATCCTCCATCCACAGCATCTTCCTGACTTATCCATCCACCGCATCTTTCTGATTCCTCCATCCACAGCATCTTCCTGACTCATCCTCCATCCACAGCATCTTTCTGACTCCTCCATCCACAGCATCTTCCTGACTCATCCATCCACAGCATCTTTCTGACTCCTCCATCCACCGCATCTTTCTGACTCATCCTCCATCCACAGCATCTTTCTGACTCATCCTCCATCCACAGCATCTTCCTGACTCCTCCATCCACAGCATCTTCCTGACTCCTCCATCCACAGCATCTTTCTGACTCCTCCATCCACAGCATCTTTCTGACTCATCCTCCATCCACAGCATCTTTCTGACTCATCCATCCACAGCATCTTCCTGACTCATCCTCCATCCACAGCATCTTTCTGACTCCTCCATCCA